TCCGGTCAATAACCAACAGCGGGATCTGGATACCCATGTTGGCTCCCACATGCTCCTCGATGATCTCATCGGATGAACCACGATGTCGAGGACTTAATCAATCCCGTATTCAATTCCCTTTTTCAATCGGTACGTTACTTGCCCGAGACTCGATCGTCGGTATCCCAATACCTCGTTCAATCTCGTTACCGGCAAGTCTCTTTACTCGTTCCGTAATGCATGATCCCGTGATGAACCACTTGGTCACATTGAGCTTATTATGATGATGCATTACCGAGTGGGCCCAGAGATACCTCTCCGTCATACGGAGTGACAAATCCCAGACTCGATTCGTGCCAACCCAACAGACACTTTCAGAGATACTCGTAGTGTACCTTTATAGTCACCCAGTTACGTTGTGACGTTTGGCACACCCAAAGCACTTCTACGGTATCCGGGAGTTGCACAATCTCATGGTCTAAGGAAATGATACTTGACATTCGGAAAAGCTATAGCAAACGAACTACACGATCTTTGAGCTATGCTTAGGATTGGGTCTTGTCCATCACATCATTCTCCTAATGATGTGATCCCGTTATCAATGACATCCAATGTCCATAGTCAGGAAACCGTGACTATCTTTTGGTCAACGAGCTAGTCAACTAGAGGCTCACTAGGGACGTGTTGTGGTCTATGTATTCACACATGTATTACGATTTCCGGATAACACAATTATAGCATGAATAATAGACAATTATCATGAACAAGGAAATATAATAATCATTTTATTATTGCCTCTAGGGCATATTTCCAACATGTGGCTCATGCCCGTTATGCATGCGTGAGAATGAGTCGGTTGACCATCTCTTCTTCAAATGCCGTTTCACCATTCGCCTATGGGGCTTGGTCAAGGTGTGGCTACAACTCATTCACATTGACACCTCCACTTGGCCCCTAAGGCATTCCACCTTAGACTGGTGGCTTGGGTTGACAGATGCTTCCGTCCCCAACCGGAAGGCCATGGCCTCGCTCACCATGCTCACTACATGGACGATCTGGAACGGGTGAAACGCCCGTGTATTCCGCAACATGGCCGCTCCGCCTACGGTTCTTCTCGACAACATCAAAAGGGAGGCATCATTTTGGGTCGCCGCCGGAGCTAAGAAACTAGGGTCCATCATGCCGGGAGAGTGATTCTTCTAGGGACCGATAAACTCCTACGAGCCATCACTCTCAACCCAAAACGAGGAGTAGAATTAATAATGCTACATTCACGGATGTTTTTTTTTGCGGGGAGCATTAATTCATTCACAGATGATTACGGGGAGGTTCAGGTGGGTGGGGCCCCTCCCTCCCCCTTAACTCAATAACCATTTGCCAAGTCATAATGACCCTGTAAAACCCTCATAATCATCCGTGAATGTAGCATTACTCGAGCAAAACAAACGGCCAGCCCGTAAACCCGTAGGAAACATTTCCGTCAACTACGAGGCGCTTGTGGTGACTATGTGAAATCTCAAGATGTTATGCCAACTCAGTCTTTTAAGATGCTTATAGGGATATGGTGTGCGTTCATAAGGGCAGATGTATGCTCGTGTATGTGAGGGACTTTGATTATACGTGCCACAAAAAAACTAGGAGCAGAACAACCGGCCAGCCCTTAAACTCGGCAAATTCCTATACGCATAGCAGCTCACGACACCTCGATAAAAAAGGAGTTGTACAGTATATATGAGGACAATTTTTCTTATACATGAACATTGCTTTATGTCACATTTCCATACCATGACCATCCTGGCTTGAAATAAGTGAATGCTTTCTCACATATGGAAATATATTTTTATGATTCGTCACCAAATTGTATTCCTGATACATGAGCATTATTCGTATAGGTGAACTTTTTTTTTTTGCAACACATACGTTTAAAATTTAAAACCATTTTCCAGACTAAATATAATTATGGAGATTTACTTTCGACATTTGCTCCAACAGTTCCCGCTTAAGGCCGTCATATCGAAACTCCCCGTCAACCGTATTCCACATTCATTGCAAAGAAAGGTATATAAGAAAAAATATTTGAAGTTCATAAAACTGTTTATGAAGTCATTAACCTTTTTTATACATATTAACATTTTGTTCACGAATACATAAACATCCCTAGCGAGCTATGTAAACATTCGTTTTTGACGTCATGCACATTTATTTTAAAACACACTACACTTGTTCCCAGTACACAAAAACTTTTTGTTATAAATCTATTTATAATAATATTTTAACACGTTGAAGATAAAAAATACATACTATAAAAGTATGTCCTAATGGGCTGTGCCATAGTTAAAGGACCCGGTCGGATATGGGCGTTTTTTATAGTATATGCCGTGGTGTTTAATTCCTATCATGCGAGGAACTGTTACGAAAAAGGGTTTCTCCTTGCTTTGTATTACAAAGCAACCATCGATACATCCAACGATAGGTGTTGGGGCCGCAGCACAAACAAGCCCAAAGAAAAACAGAGAAAAAAGAAAGAGAAAGAAATGCCAACAATGGCAGATCAACGAAACAAAGACGACCGGCGACCGCTGCACCCTCCGGAGAAGTACCACCACGCTCCCGGCACTCTGAAGCGCCGCGTACCAAGCAACACCTTCAAGAAGGAGGCGACGACGACGCCGTTGTTACC